CTGTTCATTAAACGCTCTGCTCGCCGGAATTCGCCAGTTGATATAGAAAACACAAATAAAGTGAAGAAAACACAAATAAAGTAAAGTTGCATGACCACTCATCCATGAGGATGCTCTGTTCAAAGTGGGTACCATACTGGTTCATTTCTAATCTAAAACCACCACAAACGAAATAGATGGGGTTTTTCCATACGATATGTGACATTGGATAAAACGTGGATTAATCACTACACTCGAAAGCGAAAGGCGAAAGCCACGCGTAGCGATCGTAACCTCAAAATATGGCTGGACAGCTTATGGTATATTTTATGGGATATGCTTGGCATTATATCCCTCGAGTACGTTGAAAAGGGATAAAATAGTCTTCGCTAATACACCTATGTCTTTCCTACTTCAATCCTACTTATAAAGAAGACATTTCTCGAAAATGAAATGTCTGTGGTCCCAATATTCCGCACAATTCTCGTTTTAGATTTTGCTAGTGTTGAAATTACTTTAACTATAACATATGCTCAGCAATTTTTTTTTCATCCAGACATGTATATGACATGTATCCGTATACTGCGTCCTACTATATAACGATTCTTCTCTTTCACTTATTTTGAATGGCGACAACAAGATCGCCTACAAAAAAAATGGTTAAAATATTTCGGTTCACAAATTGAATAAAGACTACGATGGTAAAAACATACGCTTTAAGGTCCAGGGGGAAACATTCTTGACTAATACATCGAGAATGACAGCGCAACTCCTCCAACTACATACGAGTACACTTCAATCCATTTGAATGCCATAAATCCAATGGCAAAAAATGTCAATCTAAGTCTTTTTGTAGTATTTTTAACAATCTTTCGTTCGTCCGCTATATGCTAACTGTTCGCAATAATCTTGAAATTTCACATAGAGTAAGGGCATTAGAGGGCATTTTTTCAGTTAAATAATAAAATGGCACTGCTCCGGCAAGAAATTTGAATAGCTTCAGAATCGTCTTGTTAAAGAGAGAATGTTCACTATGATTACAGAAGTTCTTCCAGCACACTTGGTTGCCTAGATAGATCGTGCACCTTCATCAACTAAGGGTGAATTCTCTTGAACGCTTTCAATTGATTGAAATTGATGCGTTACTCGAAGGCATAAATTGAGTTGTGAGAATCGAAAGCAATTAAATGGAGTAATAGCAGGTGAATTTAGCGACAACACTGATCACTGACTGACTGAACTGCTGAGCAAAGTTGAATTCTTTTCAGATTATTATGGCGGCGCTAAAAATTATTGAAAATATTATAAACTTAAGCTTAAAAGATATGATAGTCACTTGTGACCAAGTTCTAAGTATATCTTCCAGCACCAGTTTTGCACGTTTATTGAATCCCTTATCATTGTATCATCGCTGAAGATCAACTAGAACGGAACAAAGCTCGTACCGGTTAGTCTTCGGCAGTCTAGGAATGCTTTCCACAATTTATATAAAATAACTGAGTTTTAACTGCGTAGAGATTCTATAACGTTTACAATGATTCTTTCGAAATATCTTTCATGAAATCATCGCTTGGATCTTACCATGTAGTGAAAGTATTAAAAAGTGTTAAAAATGTTTCACAAAAGTGTTAGTTAAATATAATTAAAAATAATGTGAATTTTTCTTCTGTTTTCGGCTATAAATTTTTTGATCGAAAAGTAGAGAGGTTTAAAAAGAAGATAACAAGTTCTTGTCATAAGTTGTCGTGGTAAAGTGGTCGGATATCTCAAATCATTTCAACTCATCTTATCCACATGCTTATCTTATTCTTCATATCTTCTATCCTTATTGAAATTAAGTGGATATCTATAAGAAACGTTTTAACAATACGTACCAACTTTCACTTACTCAGTTCCTACCCATCTTGTCCTAATTCGTGATATTGTTAAAGCTAAGTGTCAAACAGGTAATGCAGTGAAATTGGAAACAATATTACATAAATTTAAATATATTTATGTTTTGTGTCATTTTTTTTCATTTTTTTCATTTTGTTTTTTTTTTTCAATTTTTTTCTCATTAAAAAAATAACACGTGCACTCTTATAATTCTTGTATATGGTGCCAAATATAATTACCATATTTTATGATCACTTGTCAATGGCTTAAATCAGCTTTAACAAGTTTCTAACCATAAAGACGGAGAACGCGAAACGCATAGCATAATATATAATATATATATATATATATATATATATCTTTTTCTTTTCAAAAATATTTTCTTGTAATCATTAACGAGAGAATATAACCAGCGTGTGCATTGTACATGTCAAATATTGAAATTACTTTGCATTTGATTTACAAATGAACAAAAATGCAAAGAAAAATAATAATAATAATAATAATAATAATAATAATATAAGTAAAGAAAAATGGAAATCACACAACATGTTGTTTGTTGGTTGGCTGATTGTCTGCTTAGTAGCCGGTCGATTGGTTATGTCGCTGTTACTTGGCTGTTTGACCCCCCGTTTTGTCAGAAGATGGAAGATATTGATGGGATGTAACTAAACAACTGGTTAAATTAAAGTCAGAGAAAAATTGAGTTACACTCTACGGTGCAAGTTTGTTGCCAAAAAGGCCAAAAGCAATCAAGTTAACTTCATTTGATACGATTTAATACTGCCGGGCTTGAAATGTACTATGTATACCGTATAGTATGTTTCAATTTTAGAGTCGAATTTCAAGATTCTGTGAATGGGGACAAGATGTCTGTGTTTTACTTACTTGTTAAAATGACGCAGGAACTGAAAGACTGGCATGAGTTCATTTTCAATGATTTCAAATATATTCTAGCAATGAGAGCAGTTTTTATAAAATCGAATAACTAGAGACCATAGTATTAATTTGCAAAACGGCTGCGCTTTAAGGAAGGAAGCTATTGTAAGCGAACTCTATGAAATATGAGTAGAAGCCTCTTCTTTTTTTTTTTTTTTTTTTTTTTTTTTTTTTTTTTAATTTAAATCCCCGAATCTGTAGGGACTTGGTCGTGGCTTAGCATGAGTACCCCGGGATAGATAGATAGATCTCTCTTCACCTAGTGCAAATGTTATGTTGAGTTTCTTCGACAGGTTCGACAAGTTTTTTATGCGGGCGTCTTACCGTTGAGAATGTTTGGAAAGTGCAAATTCTGAGCAGAGGCTTATTTCCTTCTCCAATCGTTTCTATTCTTTTTAGTACCGCGAATATCACGAGATCCAGCAGCAATCTTCTGCTTCGGGAGGATGTTCAGGGTTTTCTTATTCCCTGCGTAATCGGACATAATGCATTTAAACCTTTACGGCCGGCGCCCACGTTAAACTTCTAAACACCTAGGCAACTTTTTCAGAAAATCAACTTATTTATTACCATAATAGGGGTTTCGAACTTTTCGTAGAATGTGGCCCAAAAAAAATATACACTATGTGAAGGACATTTTTTCTTCGACATTTGGATTTCTTCGAAAAGCTCGCTCGACTCGATTGATGCGATTTCTAGATGCCAATGGGTTTGGAACATTGCGTTGATTTATTTTAAGTTTTATATGGACATTTGTACCAATTACTTTTGGCATTTCCCTATTGGTCAAACCTACTATTTACTCATTCGCAAGTACATACCTCCATGATGCGTTTGATTTAACAATTTTCTTTATTTAAATCCAATTGGATTCATTGCATTAACTGAACGTGAAATGGCGCTAGTAGACTAGCGGTTATAATCATCAAATTGAATAAACATTTCCCGGTAAGACAAAGACTTGCATCACGTAAGCAAAATGTTGCGATTACGCTCGACAACATTTATCGCAATGTAAATTTAAGGATTATGTCCTCCTTTTAATTAGTTTAGCGATTACGAGGGTTCTCGCGCATTTGCAAACAGGTCCTAATGTCGAGAGAAACTGGAAGAACTGAAAGTCGATGATGTTTGATCAACATTATTGACCTTAAGAAGAAGATGTAATGCACTTAATAGTAAATCTAATCTAAATCTTAGGGGCTTTATAGATTGATCTATAAACATGTCAACCATTTTCCAATCAAATCCTTACTATTCCACGTATTCCGTATGATCTAGATTTTCATTTTATATCATAATTTTTAAGACTTTAAAACCCTTAAGAACAAGAAAGAGACAGGTGTAAATAATCGGGTCTTTTCGGGATTCCCAGCTTGGCATTTCTCGATATAACAATTAGCAAAATATAATTATTGTACCAAGACCTTACTCTAGTCTATAGTCGATATTCTAAAGAAAATAGAAATTTAGCAATCTTATCGGACCTAAATAGAAAGCTTCCTTCTTATGACTTTGAATTTATTCCTAAAGTAGTAAGCCGTAGAGAATAGAATTGTTTTATATTAAGGAAAACTTTGCGAATTAAGGCCAGGGCTAGCGATAGGACTAGGTTCATATCAAGTGGTTACAGGAAAGCCTTTTTAGACTTGATTTTTTTTTTGCGTTTTGTTATCTAAGTCGACTATATTTCAATGTTTTACTCGTTACTCATTTCGCTCAGTGTAAGCACTTTTCTTTAAAAGAAAGCCTAACATCTTCTAGGAGTCACTTTTTAAAAATAAACAAATGCAATGGTTTTCACGAAATAACTAAACATAAGTCGTTGCTAAAATTATGAGTATTAAATTTTATTTCCATTTTTTTTTTTTTCGTTTTTTTTTTTTTTTATGCCAGATCTTTATTGGAATTATTGCGAAACGTAGAATGATTTTAAAAAATTAGCTCAGACAGATAATTTAAAAATTGTACAAAAAACAGAAAAGATATTTTCACCTGTATTTTTTTTTTTTTTTTTTTTTTTATTTAATTTATAAAAAAATAAATTTTTTTTTTTATTTTCTTTTTTTTTTTTTTTTTTTTTTTTTTAACTTAATTTGAGAGGAATTTCTTTTGTATATTGCATTGAATATATTTGATTGGATTATTGTTGTACACATTTATTGTGAGTGAGTGCTTCAAGGCAAGAAAACACCTAATTCAAGTGTATAAAATATTTTGTACCGATTCATAGTGTACGCAGGCGCATAATAATGGATATTCAGTCGACATGTGCCTACTTGTTGTATAGTCTTCCGGCTAAGAAAATAAGCAGGCGGCTAGCCAGCCAAGTCGGCCAAGTCAGGAGGGCAGGTAGGCTGGAAGGCAGGAAGGCAGGAAGACAGGCAAGCAAGCAAGCAAGCAAGCAACCAAGCAGGCAGGCAGGCAGGCAGGCATAGCATGCATATGAGCATGAGCATGGTTATGTGTATGAATGCGTAAAGCACACTTCATTTGATATGACATCTATTAACGTTCGAATTATTTGCGTGTGCGGGGCAAGACAATTCCATGCTGGCAGAAAACGTTTAATTTTGCATTTTTGTACCAAGCCATGCACAAGTCTATCTATAACTGAAGTTAATGTTTAGTCGAACTGAATAAGTATTTATTTCTATACTATAGAGTGCTGTTTAAAACTGCAAGAGTCAACGGCGCGTCAACACGGTTGCAATGCGGTAATTTGTCAGTTGGCTTTAGGCTGAGGATGACTTTTTCCAAAGTTAACGGTCTCGCTGCATATTGAAATATTTATATTTTGTAGCAGTCTGCAAAAAAAGAAAAGAAAAAAAAAAATAAATAAATAAAAATAAAAAAAAAAAAATAACAATAATAAAAAAAACCAATAATAACGAGCAATACAGTATCGACATTATCGGTATTGGTTGTTGCTGCCGCCGTTGCTCTGTGCTGCTGCCGCCTCCATTCTAGCCGTTTGTTATTTACTCTTTGCCTCGTTTTTGCATTTACGCTTGTTAAATGTCAGGCATGCTGCTATTTATTATGCATTTGGCACTCGCAAATACGTGTTGACTATCTGTGAAACTAGCACCTGAAGCCGATTTGGAAAAAATGTGTTCGTTCGATCACTAACAGCCAACTAACAATAACACAGCAACAGTAACGCTAGCTATTACTCTTTAGTGGCCAACCAAAATAAGAAAGCATTACAAACAGTAAAACCGTTTTAACAATTTTAACCATCCAAGCGTTTTAAGTGCAAACGAAAAAAAAAATAAATAAATAAATAAATAAAAAAAAAATAGTTATGCGGTTGACTTTTTTTTTTGCTTTTTTTTCTTTTCATATCAATTACTGTACGCTAAAAATATGGAGCACACTATGAATTTCGAGATCAAGAAATTCAGCGCATTATACATCTCTCAGTGTTGGCTTTCGTTTACAAGTCCTTTCATCGTCCTTCTTTCAGACGGGTGGGCCCTTTGCTTATGCAGTCGTGCTGTACTCGTTAAATTAATTTGTTTTTTTTTTTTTTTGCTACAATCTTCCAATTTAGGGTTCTAGCGAGTCGTTTTTATCCATCTCTCATATCTCTCCAGGTAAATACGTGTTTCTTGCTCTTGGTGCCGTTTGTTTTTTTCTTTTTTTTCCTTCTTTTCTTTTTTTAATTTTTTTTTTTTTTTTTTTGTCGTTGTTGTTGCTGCTGTTTTTTCATTTTCTGTTACTGGCAAATAAAAATAATCGAGTCAATTAGCAGATTGAATTACACATTTAATTTGAATTACCATTTGTTACATTGTGGGGTTTGGTGGCTGGCTAACAGATTGTAAATGGTGTAGTTGTGTAAATATGTCGCCAGACAAGACATTTGTAGAACAAATAACGGCACGAAGGGTATTTAGGATATGCTAATGAATCTTATGTATGACCTTTTTTAACAAATGTCGCTTTTCCTGCGTTTTTCATCGAAATGTTAACTTTTGACTTCGAATAGTTAACGCTTATATATGTGTGCGACACTAGTCGCTACGCTTACATTTCGCGCACTCTTCCGGCTCGTATTGATGCCCCACCGCCATATGATGGAGTGCTCTAAGAGTTAGATTCAATTTGTCTTTTTATTTTCTTGAAATTTCAAACGGTCCACCTATGTCGATTAAGCATAGAAGAGCACGCTTCTTACAATAACATTTGTAAATTGTCAAAATTTACATTCGGTCTTTACGATTCTTTTTGTAAGAAAATTCATATCGATCAATACATTGGGCAAAGCAAGAAATCAAATGAATACTCGATAGCTCGATTTATGCAATCATGTATTGCTACGAACATGTAGCGTACATTGCTCCTGGTTCGAGTATATGTCATTAAGCTGCCATGCGCATATCCGCTATCAAGACGCGCAAAGACAAGTATACCGATATAATTGGAATTGCGTGTCGACAGAGGATCTCAAGCTGAGTGATTGTCACTTTATCACCTAAATCCTAACCAATAATATCAATAAGTAAAGCGACGTAAGTCTTTTAACAGCCAATTCCAGTTATTATACAGTGCCCCCTATCATACATTAGGTCCGAATTATTCATGAAATGGAATTATACTTATAAAGATAGTATGTTACCGGTTATAGGGGGATCTCATTACGTTTTAAGACAAATTGAAATATTTGGATGCAAATGACAAGTACCTATAGCGGACAACGGTAGTTAGCTTTAACGCATCTGTCAATAATTCCCGCAACTAAGAACTAAACAAGAAAATTTTTTTTCCTGTAAAATTCGATTTTAGTCACCGCCACGGTCTTCTTCAAGTGTGACAGCGCAATATTTCTTTATACCCTTAAAAATATGCTTCACTTTCCCCACTAACTTTTTTCTAACTTTCACATTTTTTTCATTGCAGTCAACAACTGTTATGTTATACTATGCATTTGTTTCAACGCGGTACTCATTCGAAAGATGAACTTTTATTTCCCAAATTACTGAGTTTTTACGTTCTGATCTGTTTAGAATGTCAGTTTTCTCTTGAAACTTTTTTCTTATATAGAAAACCTTTCAAATTTTCGTCAAATTTTCTTGCTATGATGCAACGAATTTTTTTCGCCATCCACCTCGTTGAACGTCACCGGTATCGCGGTACAATCGTGTTTTGAATCAGCAAAAGGGTTGACATTACACATTTCAAGGACGATATTGGCTTTGAACGCTATACCTCCACTGAACCAGTTGACCAATGTAATTGTTAACATACGAACAAGTGATGGAACTGTTATAAAATCTTGATAAACGTCGTAAGTAGATTGGCCTTTGCAAAAATAATATCGAGTTTATATTAAAGATGGCATCCATGTGTATACCAGTCTTGGCAATTATTAAATGATTTGTTAGTTATTGGCGGATTATGTGCCAAGACCAAAAAAAAAAAAAAAAAAAGAAGGAATTTTTATGCAGGAAGCGATTGTCGGTTGCGTTTTAATTCGAAAGAAGATGCTTTCAAAACGTGACGAATAATAGAAAATACATCTGCTTGAATAGTCCGAAGTGCAGAAAGCAAGATGCAACGCATTCTACATCAAGCTTTCTCTTTTGTTTTTATGATAGGATGAATTGGGTATGGCTTGTAGACTATTCTTGCTTAACGATAGTGCGTCGGGTAATACTGTCAATATCAATCGATGAAAATATATTGGTTTTTAATCCTTTTCCATCTTGAGCACTTTTGTTTTCTTTTCAATCTTTCGCGGTAGTAAAAGTACAAGATATTGGAGGACATGTGCAGCGAAATGTATGATCGTAGTATGGAACTAAAAATAAAGTACTAGTTAATTGCCAGTGATGTCAGAGGGAGATCTTTGCAAAAAAAACGATGCTAATGGCCACGCTGGCGTATCAAAGATTTCTGCTTAGCTCCTATGTATGGTTGCAATAAGCAAAAAATTATATCTCCTTACATCTTATAAAACAAATATTCATTTAAAACATTAGATGAATATTTTCTTTCCGATTTAACTTAGAATTTATTCTCCGGCTAAACTATTACTAATCATAAATGTTTATAAATCTTTGTGCTCTGCAACGCTTGTGCTGCAAACTTATATTAAGTTCGCGTGTATGTATGCAACACCGAGAAGAGCAACACCGTATGATAGACTCACGTTATAGTATATTGATCGAATTAGAATATGATTCTGGATCGAGCTTGTCTGTTCGTTTGTCCGTCTTGTTTTTTTATGTTCACCCTATAGGTTGCAATTTTTCGAGATATTTTCATGAAATTTCATAAACCGGACATGTTTTGGATCAAGGACGAAATCCATTGAAAATTTCCGAATTTGTTTATAAATAAAAGCATTCTAAATAATTAAAAGTCTAAATGTATATCATATTTTTGGACAAATACTTTAAAAAGAAGAAAAAGAGAAAGATCATTCGTCATTTATTTATATTATCAACCAGATGTATCGGAGGTATACAAATTTTGTTATTACACATGAAGCATCCAAAAGTAACCAATTTTAAGATCTATAAAATTATAATTTATCTGCCATTCTTTATTTTTTAAATCCAAAATGTCGCAAAAATTGATATAGAGATAGAGAAATTTAGATTTTCTTTTGCATTAAATTACCTTAACGGATCAAGTACATAAATAAAGCTAAACCACCTATTAAGTAATGGATATGGTTACTGGAAAGAGAAAAAAACAAAAGATTTTAGGTCATTTTCAATAAATACGTGAACTAAAAGTTAAATTTATCCTTCAATCATGAGAAAATCTTATTCAGGACATTCTTCCGGTTAACTATTCACGTACAGAACAAATTAAAATTCAATTATGATAACCTAAGTCACAATTACGAAAATATATATATATGTATTGATGAAAAGCAATTGAAGTTAAATTCTATTTAAGAGTAGACAGTTAAATAATCAGTTTATTAGTAAGCCTTCAGTTAATGTAATATAATCCCCTGTCTAAGCAGTTGATGGTAGAAAAATGTCCGATTCAGCAACTAAGATACGATCGCATTTAAGAAAAACGATTGTGTCTCTTAAAATCCGACAGGAATCATGAAAACGTGTTTGTATCAAACTTTCGCTGATAATTTATTTTTTTTTGAAGCTTTTGCATTTAAAGCAGGAAAAAGTGGAAAAAATTATTGGAAATCATTTTTTATATTCATAGAGAAACTAGATATTAGCATTAATCAAAATATTTATCTCGAGACATGTACTTGCATCTGCAAGCATGTATACATGTATCCTTCACGTGCATATGTACATATTCTTGTGTAACACCTGGTATTTGCTTTGGTTTCCTTTTTATTGTTTTTTTTTTTTTTTTTTCTTTTTTTCTCCAGCTTTGGGTCTGTCTCTTATCTTAAGAGGTGATTGAAAATTATGTGACATATAAAGTCAGTTTCCAGACATAATTATGCGCTGCGATTAATTTTACAAACAGCATCAACAAAATTAACATAAATTCAATCAAAGCAACGACATTGCAACCAGCAGAAAATAGCAATAGCAATAGCAACAACAAAATATAACGATATAAAGAAAACAAAAAAAGTAGTAGAAGTAGTAGAAGTAGTGGTAGTAGTAATAGTAGTAGTAGTAGTAGTAGTAGTAGTAGTAGTAGTAGTAGTAGTA